CTACGGTGCGTCTGATACAGGCCATGGTCTTCGCAATCACTTGTCATGCATCAGAGAGTTGGACAGTGACAAGGAGGATAGAAGGAGAATTGATGCCTTTGAGCTGTGGTGCTGGAGAAGAGTATTGAGAATACCATGGACTGCTAGGAAAACAGATTTGTACTGGAGAGGGTTAAACTGGGCGGCTCCTTGGAAGTAAGGATTCTGAGGCTCTAACATACTTTGGACATGTTGTGAGGAGAGACCTGTCCTTGGAGAAGGACATCATAAGGTCGATTGATTCAGTGACTGAGATAATCGGGATGGGAGTGTCCGAGACAGTGCAATTGGCACAGGACAGAGAAGAGTTTAGGACTGTTGTACATAGGGTCGCTATGAATCGCAAGTGACTTGATAGCACATAACAACAACAACAACAGGTCTTATTTCAGAAGAGTGTTTAACATACCATGGGCTGCCAGGAGAACATGCAGGTCTCTCCTGGGGAGGGTGAAACCAGGCTGCTCCCTGAAGGCAAGGATTTTGAGGCTCCATCTCACATACTTAGGGCATGTGTCCAGGAAGGACCAGTCCTTGGAGATGGACATCATGCTTGGAAGGGTGGAGCACAGGAGAGGAAAATCCAGGATGAGATAGATTGATACAGTAACTGGAGATGTGGGATTAGGTGTGTGACGATGAGACTGGCTCAGGATAGGGCAGATTTCAGAGCTAGTGTACATAGGGTCGCTATGAGTCGCAGGCAACTCAATGGCACGTAACAATCACAGGCCTAATTTAAACCTTACACACAAGGTTGATAGTTTGATTGTAAGTAGTGTTTGATCTAGTTAGGTTCAGGCAGCAGGCTGGAATGGTCGCTTCAGTGTCAGGTCTGTTTCTAAGTGTTTGCAGTGCTATTACATGGATCTCGTTGGAGCGCCAGTGGCCTGCTGCTCAGGAATGTTAACTGAAAGGTCATCAGTTGGAATCCACCCACCTCTGTGAAGAAGATAAGATAGTCTCCTCCCATAAAGAATCACAGAAACCTTATAAAGGGTCTCCTCCTGGGAGAGGGTCTAAACTGGACAGTGGTGGGTTTATGTTCACCTTGGGCAGGGTTCAGTCCAGGCCACAGGCATGTCTGTCTGTCCGCTCAGTCCTCCATGTCTTTGACATGCTCATTATGCTAATTATAGTCAGTTCTCATATGCAGAAGTTGGACATGAGCCCAGCAGTTCATAAAGGATTTTATGGTGTTTCTTTCCCAGGTTATTCTTTCTCTCCCAGGTGTGTGCTGGTTCTCTGGTCACCCCTTTTCTCATCTCTGATCAGGAACTACCCATGTCTTGGGCTGTGCCGTGTCTGGGCTAATCATTGGAAGGACAGAGGGAAAAACGAGTTTGGGGTGCACACTCCCATCGTTGGCTGCTGTTCCTGCGACCATGGCCTTCACTGTTACCACAGAACTGCCTGGGACCAGGGGCACAAGAAATCAGGACAGAGCAGGAAGAGGACCTGGGGTTTCCTCTTCTCTCTCCAGGCTTTGAGGGTTGGTTCCCTTTCCCACCCTTGGAGTCAGGCTCCCCTGAAGATTTCTCTGCACACCAGTGCTCACGTGTCATCGGGGCTTGGGGATGTGCTGGCCACAGGGTCTGTGGGGAAAAGTGGTGAACAGCTGCCTTTGGGGATGCTTTGAAATTGGCACCTCTGTGGCCACCTCCGTTGCTGTTTTCTTGTCAGGTTCTTACCTAATGGGATGTGCATTCTGACCAGGTTCCGTAATTGCATTCAGAGGCAGAGAAGGGTGCGGCCTCTTGAGCTCATTTAAAAAATTTATTTTCTACAGAACTAATTCTTAAACCTGGGACAACAGCTTATGCTGTTGATAAGAGTTCAATTAAGTGGCCAAATTGTCTGGTTTCTCGCTAATCCTTGTGGCTTTGTTTATGCCTACCTTTGTGTCAACAGCATAAAACACTATTCTGGTCTCTTCCTTTGATCATGTAATTCTCGCTCTGTTTTTCCATTTGCACCTTTTAGCCAGGCTGGTGGATGAACAGAGTCTTATCACTACTTTGTGGCTTGCAGAGGGATTTTCCTGCAGTGCAGGAGGCGGTGAGCATGGAGCTGGCTCAGCTGAGCTGGGGGAGGCATGATTCTGAGAAAAGGGGCCTGGGAGTCCTCCCCAGCGACCCCCGAGAGCACCTCCAGTCTCCAGTGGTGCACACTGCAGGCATAACTGAGTAGAGCTTACACTATCCAGCAGCCGCCTCTTGAACTCATGAGTTGGGTGTAATTTAGGAATAGATTTGCATGGAGCTCTTTTTTTTTTTTTTAAGAATATAAAACAAATTAAAACTTTATTTAGGTATGATAAGCATTT